TTCATTTGTTCAGGTTAGAATCTTCCCACTATGACTGAATTTTGAAAGTTTGCCAAATATATTTAACTAACATTTGAAGAGCCCTTTTTAGAGTGCGTTCCCACAACAGCGCCGTTACTGAGCTCAGCCGTCCTTATGTCTATGTAAATTCATATTGATTCCATAACGGGGTCATTTTGGTGTGCAAATCTTTAAATTCACTTTGCATTACAGCACGACAGCACGACATGTAGAGAAACACACATGCACACACACAGCACTGTTCTCCCCACGCTAGCTCCACCGATCCCATCTCGCCTCTGTTACTAACCCCCTATGTATCACTTTGGTCCCCCCAGTACACCTCTGTGACATTCATAGTTAAGGTGTGACGTCACAGGGGTGTAAATATTGAAGTCTGAAATGGGCTAAGGATTCTATTTAAATATGTCAATGTGATGTTACTTCTCCATAGGACATGGGATGGACAGTAGACCTGCCATGGCCATCTTTGAACTTTTGGACTACATTGTGAACGAGGTCTGTAAAACATATTCTCTCTCACACATCTCATGCAAGCACACAGTGTATATTTGTATTAGTTGGTCTTGTTTTTTTATCTTTTCTTTTCTTGCTTCCTCCACAGCCGCCCCCTAAACTGCCACATGGAGTCTTCACCAATGACTTCCAGGACTTTGTGACAAAATGGTGAGCATTGGCAAAGACTTAACTGTGTAAAACTGAGAGCTCAAACTTCTGTGCTTACTCTGCTTTTTGAAATAAAGTTAAGTTGGTTGCAGAAACCTGTACACTGAAATATGAGCTTGTCTAAGGTAAAAAAAAAAAACAACTGATGATTGAAATGTAAATGTTTTCTAAAGTTCCCAATTACCGTAATTAATAGTATTTTCCACATCATCTGTGTCCACAGTTTGATCAAAAATCCAGCTGAGAGAGCAGATCTAAAGATGTTGATCGTGAGTATCTGAAATTGATGTGAATCATCAAGTTAGTTTTGTTGCTGTTTTTTGTTGTTGTTTCTTTTCTTGTTTATGATGCTAGCATTACCAAAATCGGTTTCTCCTGGGTCTTTTCTTTCAGAGTCACACATTCATCAAACGCTCAGAAGTGGAGGAGGTGGACTTTGCAGGCTGGTTGTGCAAAACAATGGGCCTCAACCAGCCCAGTACTCCCACCCGCGGCACCGAGTGAACAGGCCCCCACTGCCCTGACACACCTCTCGGTCTTGCTTGAATACACATAAATATACCACACACGCATACACAAGCCATTACACACACATTGGCACTTTTTTCATCTTGCTCTTAAGTAAAATGGTTTTTGGCCTCTCCCTCCTTTTTCTCCACCAGCAGCAGGGCCCGTTGAGTCATTGTGTACTGTAAGACCACAGCTTCACTATGCCAGTGACGAGAGTAGCCACAGCTCACTTTTCCACATTGCTACAGAGGATGTAAAGCACTAAAGGGCTGCCAGTGTGTCAGCTGAAATGCATTGATTGAAAAACTTATTTTGTATTGTTAAATAATCTGTATTAATCTTTTCTATGGAAACAGATGATGGCCTGGGGGACTGTATTTTAATAAATGACCTGCTGTACTGATAACCATACAGAGATTCCCATCATATTACCTACTTGCAAATTCTAAATTGTTTTTATTGAGGTCCATGCAGCTATTTTGATTTGGAAATTCCGATATCAAAACGTATTCATGCTTAAATGTTCCCCTACGAAAACCTTGGAATTACCTCCAATATGATAATTAAATATGTTTGTAGAGACTGCAAGACAACTGGACGCGTCAACTGTCATTTTCATTTATTGCTAAATGAGAGATCACTAAAAATCATTCTGAGGACAATGTCACAAACCAAAGAGGGTACTCATGAATACTTAAGTTTCTCAATACCTGATCAGTTTTTTTGTGTTCATGAACAGTATATTGATTTACTTGTTTATTTTTTTCTTTCTTTCAGTGATCTACACTATGAATGTGATGACATTGTTTCCTCAGCATACATTTCAATTAACATCCCACAGTGTCTCTCACATGGGAAGAGGCATGTGCTGTGGAGGCCTGATATGCCAGAGTGTCTTTATTGACATTGAGAAAACAATGTTCAAAATGTATTTGTGGGATGAAATAGCATGGTTTATTATCTACTTATACTGTATGTGTATTTTATTTCCCAAGATCATGATGGGGATAATTAGCTGGTGTTTTTATCAGAAGCCTGAATCTCCCCAATGTCAATATGAAATGTCTATCAGGTTGACTACTTTTACTTTTTTTTTTTTCTCCTCTTTGGTGTTGGTCTGTCGTTTTCCCCTGAAGTGTATTTGGATATGTTTTCACTCTACTGCTACAAATGACGCTCCAAGCTTTCTATTTGGACACGTTCAGCCCAAAGGCTTCAAAAGACATGGGTGAAAGTAAAATTGACAACCTTTTCCTTTTAACAAACGAATTGAGCTTAAAATACAAACAGGGATTCAAGTGGAACTTCTAAAGTCTGAGGTAGCAGAAATGTTTTCAACATTTTAACCTGGTCAGTGTTGGTCACGTGGTGGTGGTGGTGGTGTCACTTGCTAGCCTGCCTTCTTGCTAGAGCTCTTGTGTTCTCTCTGCTTATGGCTGCCCTTTCTTATTCCCCCAGAAAATGTGCATTCGTTCAGAGCAAAATGAATGCATTGTCACATGTATGTGTACAAAGCTATATACAACAAATAATGGAGTACTATTTTGCAGTCTTAATTTACTTATTTTTTTGATTTATGTAAATGACAAGGGAGAAGAGTCATTTTATTATAATATAGAAATGTGTTGGATATGGTTATAATGTATAAAAAAGATTAAAAATAAAACGTATTTGTGAATGTAGTAATGTTTCTTTGTAATTTTGTACCATACAATTGTTTTTTCTCTCAACAAAACTGCTTTACTGATACAGAAATATGAAAAAAAAAAACATGTTACTCAGTCGAGAATCTTCACTGAGTTTTAAATACCATTAAATGCTTCTTTTTTTACGTCATTCCTGTTGGTATAATATCCACATGTAGGTTTCAAGCAACTTGGAATCGGTATGGTTTAGGTGGTATCGGAGCAGCTGGTTTTGAATCTTTTATCTGTTGTCCTTTTGAGACAGTTTAATATTCAGACACTTTCTCAGTCATGGCGATCTGTTCAGAAGTAGACGTGCAGGCTACTCGTTTCTGATTGGCTAGTACAGTGCACAGTTCGAAGTAACCTTGGAAACCATACCCACCCTTTAATTGTACTATATAGCTAACTTTCAATGAACCGTCTGCAACATGAGGGATGGATGACGATTATATTCAGTCTACTTAAAACTTATGAATGGTGAGAGATGTTATGGATACTTAAACACTTTTCATACTTAAAAAAAAAACAACTGTTGCTTTAAACCCATCTTTGAAATTCATTGTTTAGCTACATTATTAGGAGTAACTTGACGTAGTTCAAACGTTATTGTAGCTAGGCTACTTTACTCGTTTATTAATTACCGCTCAATGAGTAACAGACAATTATATAAAGCTACACGTAAATGTAAAAGTGTTAGCTAATTTTAATCTGTCTTCCTGACCCACGTTGATTTTTTGGGGGGGGGATTTTTTTTTTTTACCAGACTTCAATCAAAACCATAATTGAGACCGTGATGACAAGCAGATATTTGATGTGGGGTGTCTGGAGTTGGAGAAACTGTAGTTTATATTGTACAGAAAGGTGATTTTGCCAGATAAAGATGACATCATCTCAGACTTCCTTGGGCCGGCACTGACTTTTGACTGAATCTGGGAAAACTCAATAGAGGGTAATCTGTGTAAATATTATGTGTAAAAGTTTACCGTGCTCTTTTAATTTAACTTTGGCTGCAACTTATCCACCTGCATCCTTTTCACTTTGCATTGCAAATTATAGCAAGAGATGACTCCAAATATCTGAATACTGCAATTACCGTAGTATGCATTTCTGAAGTTTGAAGGCTGTGTTTATGTTGAGACAGGGCTGAACAGTGCCCTCTAGGCAAAGGGTGTGTCACTACTTCCACTGCCAAATGGCCCCCTGATTCTTCTGCATGGTTATCTGTGCAGTACCAGCCCAGTATCAAACCCTGCTGCACTGTAGGAACCACTCCTGTTAAGACTGAGAAGGTTCCGTTAACAGGCAGCGTTTTTTGGAAAAACATGTCCATGTCCAGTGTGCATGACATATATGTCTTAAGAGGGAGTCAAGAGGTGTGTTGGGATGGTCTGTGGTGCCACAGAATCACAGAATACATGTTGTGCTCCATCCCACACCGTGGCACAATGGCTGGCTTGCACTCACTGAGGGGGTGTGCTGGTGGGTGGTTGGAAGTGGCGCAACATTAAGTGCAATAGCAGAAAGTTTACAAAAGGGAACCTGCCATTCCCAGCAGTGCATAAGACACTTTTTAACTTAGTAATGTGTTCTCTGATGCCTCACCTGTTGGAGCTTGGCAGGTATTATGTACAGAGCCAGAAATTGTATCAAGGGGTTAGCTGGCAGCCCCTGCTGTATGTGCTGGAATGCGCCAAGGCTTGCTTTTGGGGTGGGACACCATGACCTCAGGCAATAGAATGGGTGGGTGTGACTCTACTCACATAGAAAAAGAAACCAGTATTAAAAGATGAGGCGTTTGAGAGTTGTTACCTCTGAATGAGTAACACCTCATTTACCCTTTTACCAAAATATTGAATGTCCGTGGAGGGACACATTGGTTGAAGTTGACTGTGAAAACCTAGAATGGAAAGGAATGGGTTAATGATTTGTGTCATCTCTGCTCAAGTTTATGACTTTGACAACTGTCCACTTTTAAGCGCAAACATAATTCCACTTTACTTTTGCTTTGCAGGATGAGGTGTGATTAGAGGCAGAGGGGGAATGCTGTTTCTTTAAGAGAGAGGGAGAGAGAGAGTGAGAGAGAGAGAGAGAAAGGGAGGGACCTCTTTGCCCTCCAGAAACCAGGAAGGGAATTGAGTTGATCTGCTGCTGCTTGGTTAGCGCATACGGGGCTTTAAGCTGCACAACAGTGAGAGGGAGAGGAGGAGAGGAGAGGGCTGAGCAAACCCACAACAAGCTTCACCACGGCCATCGCAGGTGAGCTAAAGGCACCCTGACATCCCCCCCGCTGTCTACCCAAGGCCTGTTGACCAGAGGGGAGCAGGGCAGTGGAGGAGAGGAGAGGAGGAGAGGAGAGGAGGAGAGGGAGGAATGAGGGAGGGGGCATAAAGGAGAGCAGGGTGGGGGGGTTGGCCGGAGAGAAGAGGTGGGTCGCAGCAGTAGTCCCTTGTCAAGGTTCCTCTTTTTTAAATCCTCTTTAAGTACTTCCTCTCGACTAATATTTAACTCTGGGGAATCTTGAGATAAAGTTTATAGGATGTGTTCAAGGCATTAACTTTTCAGGCAGGTGGAAGCACTTAGAGAAGGAGGGGGAGGAGGTGGAGGGGGGCTCTCGAGAGAAGGTGGGGGGTACTAAACGAGGGGAAGGAGGAACCTAAAATAATTCTATTGGACAAGATATAAGCAATAGCCACAACTTTGCAGGACAGTGGTGATTGAATTGCTCAGTGCGGGGCAAGTTGCGTATTGTGTGTGCTGGGCATGTTGTCGTGGTAATACACCATTTGGAATAGTCATAATTTAGGTCAGTAGTTTTGAGTGTGTCAGAATTGTCACTAGAGTGTGAGCTGATGAAAGAATCCATCTCTGATGTTTGAGTACTACTGTGACAGTTGGGAGTGCGTGTTTTTGTCATATGAAGCTCTGCCCTGTTTGATGGCTGGTCTGTACTTTAATACCTGGCAGCCTGCTAGCTACACACTGTAGTGTATAATTCAGCCTGAGTGCTTACGTTAGAGCAGGCTTGGAGATAGTGGGGGTGGTGAGGGCAGAGATTCCTGGGTCTGGTAGTCCACAGCAGGGGCTGCTAAGCAGGTTGAATGGGGTTTCAGAACTCTATATCCCACATTGCCTTGCCCTTGGCCATCCAGGAAAGGGAACAGCCGCCAGCCTATCCTGACAAGGAGGCGTGGTGAGTGAGCAGCTGTCAAGCCAATGAGAGCAGGGGATACAGCTCTGAGTTGTGGGCTGAAAACAGAGGGGGGGGGGGGGGGTAGTGGTGGTTGAGGGAGGAGGGGGTGGGGGGGGGGGGGGGTAGGTATCTGTTTGTGTGGGATCAGGCAAGGGCTTGCCTGAATGCAAGGGCCACTAGCAAGTTTCCTGTCTGGTAGAGCTCTAGCCCTGCCCAGAGACGGAGGCAGCAGAGCAGGCCGGCAGGCAGGGGAGGCAGATAGGGCCCTGGAATTATTTTCTGCCTATTTGGTAAGCTCTCTAAACACACACACAGACACACACACTCTCTCTGTGTTTTATACTGTGACTGAGGAGAAGGCAAGCAGAGGAAATAAATACTATAGCGTGTTGTGCGTGAAGGAGTGTGAGAGAAATAGGGCTTGATAGAGTTCAGAGTTCTTGACCCAAATAATGGAGGGAACAGCAAATAGGTCACTGAGTGGAGTATACGGTGCTGCACAGAACTTTTTTGCCATTAACATCTGGCAAAGTTCTTTTACTTTCTTTATGCAAGCTAATTGTGAATCAGTGTTGCATTCTTAATGCAAGCACAATTCTTGAATGTTTTGTCTGCTGATGTGATGTGCAGAGCTCCTATTATTTGCAGAGTGTGAAGATGAAGACAGCTGCACACGCTGTTTTTCTGCTTCTTTAAGGTTGTACAAGTAATTCAAACAAAACTAGTGTACTAATGTATGTTAGACTGTTGCAGAGCAAGCATTTCAAAGTTGACAGAGTTCAGATGGGGTGTTTGAGGAACCTCACTGTGACATCTCTTAGGGGGAAAATGTGACACAACTCAGACAACATGATTTCACTTGTAGGGTAAGCTGCCCCAGCAAAGTCCATGCAATACTTCAGAAAACTAAAGCCAAGTGCTTTGGAGCTTGTGTATGTACTGATTGATTTCAGTTTTTTTCAGCTACTCAAACCATGGTCAATCTCATGACATCTTTTTCTCCCCATCCACTCGCCCCCACTTACTAACCAGCGTCTTGTTAAAGCAGATTCTAATCTCGCCTGCCTACTTGCTTGTGGCTTGTGGTTTAAAAATCTTCAGAAAAAAACTTGTCTGCCTTGCTTGATAACCATGCATGTTTTTTTGGCTTTGCATACTTGATCAACCCGTTTTTTTTAAACATGTGGGCAGGAGAGGGTATACTAGAAGAGCAGGGTACGTGAAGACGCCCAAGTGCTGGGAAAGTGTTTGGAATGTTTTTTATTCAGTTCAGTTCCACAGAAAATAAAAGTTGCTACAGAACATAAGTTCCAGCAAATATTGTCCTGGTGCTAGCTACCTTCCATTCCATTCACTAGATACCACTACTGAGAAAGTATAAGTAGTTTAAGTTAATTCCAGCAAGAGGTTAAACTAGGACACCATATATGTTTGTGTGCATGCATGCATGCGTGTACGTCTGTGTGACCAACAATAGACTTCAGGGGAATTGCAGAGGACTTCAGTAGCTGTGGGCTGGTCCAAGACACCACCCATCAATTTGGCGGTGAGGCTGAATACAGTTTGATATTCCTGTATGTTTGTGCCTACACCACTATGGCCTGAAACTAGCAGGTTGAGACAGACTGAGAAGACAGGTTGTGTGATGCCGCCGTGGCAGTTTGAGGCTTTATTTTAGAGTGAAATGTTGGCTGTATGCAATGCACTATGTTACAGCCATCATGTTTGTTTTAAGTTATTTTATGTGGTTGTATGATGTACTTTGGTCCTTTATAGTGGAGCTTTTGAACCAAACAGCATCATTTTTGTGCTGCTATTCCAATGTCCTTGTTTGTTTGTTTGTTTGTTTGAATAAGCTAAAATATTGCTCTAAAGTTTGAAAACTTTCATCTGCCTTTTCCTCTGGAATAAAGCTTCACTTTCCCCCTAATGTTTTGTTCCCCTGGTCAGCTGCTCAGTATACCACAGCATCCAGCCTGGCTAGGCAGATAGACAGACCCCTCTCTGTTGTTTTTCTGTTGTTGTGCTAAAGTCTAGGGGGAGTAAAGGGGCTTCTTCTGTTCTACTCTGGTACATTTATTATGGAGAGGCCAACACAACCTGATCAAATTAAAGAGGGATAGGAAGAGGCTGGGATGTTTGTCGCGGTGGGGGTTAAACTATACTTTAATTTTGACACTTTTGGAGTTAGCTCATGCTTTTGGTGATATGTTTACTGAGGGTTTTCTATGTTGTAACATGATGGGCTTGTGCAAACAAAATATTTTTGAGTTATTTTCACATTTAACCCTATAATTTACTGGAACTTGTTTTAAATAAACAGAATAGCCCATTGGTCAGGGGGGAGATATGCGATCAATCTGACAATGTTTGTGTTTGTATTTTATGAAGTGGTTCGGATAGCTAGTGGGGGTGGATTTGCATTAAAGGACTATACGACACACAGTAGGGTGGGTGGGGCTGTGCTGCCTTGCCTTCTCAGCAGTGGAAAGGGGAAGTGGGTGACATGGTGGGTTCTGTGCAGAGACAGAGATGGAGCAATGATGAGATGTGAGCGACAGATGAGAGGAAGAAAGAGAGAGAGAAAGGATCAGACAGTAGAGACAGAGAGAGCAAGCAAAGAGAGAGCTGGTCATCTGATAACAGAGCGGGTTCTGTTACATGCCTGCCAGAGAGTCACAGGAAGTTCTCTTTCCCTGTTGGGCTGCGCATGCACAAAGCGGTGCAGCCAGGGTATGTTGCGCTTGCAAACTGACCAACTGGCCAGCTTGAGTTCTGCTGGACGACGATATGTAGGAGCGAGTGCTGTTTTGAAGCCATGTGTTAGATTTTGTTACACTTCCTTGTTGGCAGCATGGCAGCGTCAGAGCGTGTTACTCAGTCTGAAGGGAACTCAGACTGTGGATGTGGTTTTATTTCACCACTTGTAAAAGGCTACTGCCTGTTTGTTGTAGCATCCATACCTTTAAATGTCCTTTAAAGGAAAATGTTTTGGTGGCATGAATGTTTTAGTTTATATATATTTTTTATGAATAAATAATGAATAAATAATGTTGCTACCATTGTGGGTCTGTGTATGGACTGACCACACAATGCTATAATGAAAAAGCTGCATGAAACACAATATTATTATTAGTTAATAATAATTCATATAATATTTTTGCATCTTACATTTTTAGGGTAATTTCTAAGGCTGCCTTTACTGGCACTCTGTACAGTATGTGTTAATCAGTGGATATACGTTAGTTTTTTACTGATACAAACAACAATAAGAACAATAGAGACACATTAGGAATAGTGTACGATTATTGAAGTGGTAAGCAGCAGTTACAGATCAGTAAAACGTTTTGGACTCCTTTCTATGTGGCTGTGCAAAACATACCATAAAACCCCCTCCCAGCTACCTCATGTTAAACTTTACCCTTCTTGTGGGTGGTTACCTTTCCTCTTATTGAAGCAGGTTACACCAGGTAACTGAATGAGATGTGAGTTTATCATTGACATCTGAGCCGGATTCCTAGGCCACCATGCGCTCAGGAGTTATGAGTGAGCTTGTGAATCGAATGCCCTGCCTCGCCCACTACCTTTTCCACTTGCTCTGTTTCTGTGTTTTGGCTGCTCTTCCTGGTTAGCGTCTGCAAGGCAAAAGCTGCAAGGCCTAGATCAGCCTTCGCAACTTAAAGTTTTATCAGTCACTGTGCCTCTTCCTGCTTTGGTCCAAGTATGACCAATCAGGTTTCCTTCCACCACTGGCAGCAGTGAGTCAGTTGGCTGTGGCACTTGCTCAAAATCTACTTTTCCTGGGAACTGCCACCCCCTCCCCATTCTAATTATCTTGCATTACCCTGGTCCAACCTTGAACTCTTCTGACCTGAGTGAAGCGATTCCCTCACAGCAGGCCTGGTTACGCAGGGTGATAATCAGTGTAATGCTGAAAGGGGTAGCAATTGAAATGTCAATAGTTGTGGTTGAAATATCTGAATTATTCTGATAATAGAGCTACTGAATGCAAACAGTCTTTGCAGTGGCAGAATACAATTATTTAAAGAATTGTACTTGTACAAACATTACAATTATAACACAGGGTGTCTGTTATGAAATTATTAACCACACTTCATTTAGTATTAAGAGGTAGCCTAACTGTGCTCCATTATCAGTGGTTCAAATGGTCAGTGATTGAGTTATGTTTGTGCTCATTGCTTCCTCTTAAAGGTGGGTTGCTCAGTGTTTTTATGACCAAATCACTTCCTGTAGCATGCCATAGTTTAAGAAACTAGTAAGTGAATGTTTGGAATAAATGGGGACCATATATATGATATTTGCTTGAATTTCATCTAAGTAAAACCCTAAGTTTCTCTTAATTGGAAATATTATGTGCAGAATCTGTTTTTGGAGTCTGACAGTTAATGCATACATCAGGGAAACCTTGAAAAATGTTTTGAGCTTCATACAGAAAGTGCCAGTTAGCTATTTCCTTGACAATCTAAAGACACATCAGAGGTTGTACAGGGTTAACAGTTTGTTCCTTTGTATTTAGGAATGACTGGTATGTGACAGCCAAAGACAGAGATACTCGGAGTGTGGAAGATCTGGAGTATTTCCATGAGTGATACATAACAGATCAAATAAAATCACTTTCCCTAACTGCAACAGCATTTTTATGTCAACGTGTTTTTCCAAGAATAGCATGCACATGTGATTGAAAAGTAACAGCATGACAAAAACGTCCTTACAGAAAACCGTTGTTGGTTGTTTTCAAGCCTGAAACGTGTATGTGGCTGTAGGAAGGGGTAGAGACGTTACATATGAGATGGAGGTGATGAGGGTGTGGATTGGATGGGTGGGTCCTGTATAAAAGTGGTTGTTTGACTTGCAAAGCAGGCCTGGGTGCTCACAGAATGGATATTGAGAGAAGGCCCTTCCCTGGAAGTTGAGCACAGGACATGGACGGTTTCTGTACTGCTCTGTGCTAGGCTGCAGGCCTTGTCACCCGCAGGCATGAATTAGTGATAAGGAATGTTTCAAGCCATGAGGAGGTGTCAGGATCAGGTTTGTTGCACTGTGTTTCCTCTTTCCTAGGGCTTTTTACGGGTCATTCAGGGACAGGTGGCTACTACGTGCAGACCCGCCCCTCCATGCTTTGTTGGGACTGAATTAAGCTTGTGTGTGTGTGTGTGTGTGTGTGTGTATGTGTGTGTGTGTGTTTTATCTCCCTTCAGCTCAGCGTCTTTACCACTCAAAGCCGTGACCCAGGGTCAGGTGTGCATCTAAGGGGGATAACGTGCTACAAGCTTGTAGAAAGTCTGGTCCATTACAGGTGCTGTGTGTATGTTAGAGGAAAGCAGGTCAACTAGGGTCTGGATGGGTTTCGCAGAGATCCAATTCCAACTGGGAAGGACATCACCATTTGCCATGTGGTCGCCCTTTCTCTTGCACTTTCCTCCATCGGATCTCACTCTGCTGTCTATCTCTCCCTCCCTCCTGTGCCATCTCCTCTGTCTTCTTTACCCTTATCTCCCTCCCTTCACTCAACATATTTAGGTTAGCCAACTCTCATATCTGACAGTGAGTGTGTTTACATGGACCTGAGTATACCTGTAGTGATCAAGGCTGTGAAGTGTCCAAAGTTAACATCAAATCCCAAATTCCAAAACCCAAATTCCAAATAAGCCTGTAAACCGGTTTTGAGAGTCTCAAATATGCTTAGCCGAGTACTGGAAAAAATCAGGTCACTCTTGTAAGTATACATCCTGTTGGGGCTCTGTTGCTGGCATCTACCTAACCAGCTGTGACTTCAGCCAGGTAGCATGACAGAAACAAGAACAATGGCAAGAGCATTTTGGATGACAGACCAACTGGCTCGCTATATGGCAAAGTTACTCTCTTTTTAATGGCAACAGTCAATCAATTAATCAATTTAACTACAACAGTTTATTATAAATTATATTTTGGGCTCGTTTGGCCTGGCAGCTAGAGAGACATGTAATGTGGGGAGAGAGTTACGGATTGTAAAAAAAAGAATGCATTAGGACCAGGAGTCTAACCTGTGACCAGTGCAATAAGGACTTCAGCCTCTGTACATGGGGTAGCCACCGACTGAGCCCCCTTCAACAGTAAATGCCAAATTATACATTTTTTTTTTTTCTTCTTGAGACTTACTTTTTGGATTTTCAATGCCTCTATTTGAGATGACTGTGGATGGAGAAAAAAAACCAGGGAGAGAGAGTGGGGAGTGACATAAGGAAAAGGAGCAGCAATTCAAACCAGAACCCAGGCTCCCCACCCGTTGGACCACAGCCAACCCCCAGGCCAAATTATCAATTTCAAATATTCCGGTTTATGTTGTAACTCTAACAGGTGCCTGCACAAAAATGAGGCTGTAATCACAAATTAACAGAATAGTCATGTAGACACAATCAGTATAAGAACTTTGTAACAACAAAAAGGACATTGGCAGTGTTTTGACATTGGCTTTCTCGTCAGCTGCCAATCAAAACTAATGTAAGTTAAGACCTAACGGCTTGACTGCAAGAAACTGTGAAGCTGTTAGACATTTCATCTCTAATCAAACAGAAAAGTACGTTCAAATATGAAGTGTTATCTGAATTTAAGACATTTTATCGGAATGTTCTCTTTGTCATTTTCTCTAAACAAATATTGATCCATTTAGTGGATGAAGCTAAGTTTGAAGAATCGTCTGCTCTCCCCTCCCACCTGTCACTCCAGAGAGCTCTTTAGGTGAAGCCTTTACCTAACTCTGACCTGTTTGCAGAGCTGACATGTTGCCAGATCGCAAGGTGTGGATACAAATAGGCGTTGCTTTTTACGGGGGAAGAACAGAACATAATACCGGAGAGAAGCGAAGAGGAGGACACAGGTAGGAAAGAGGAGAGGCAGCCATGTTAGGCAGGTTTGGTAGTGGGGTGTAACGTAGGAACATACCAGGAGGGCTGATCTATAAGAATGTCATTCAAATGCCTCACTTTTGTAGAGAGAACACACTCATTACATCCTCTACCCCCCCCCAAGCCTCATCCCCTGCTGGGTGTCCTGGCAGATGGAGAAAGGGGGGAGGAGCGGGTGGGTGTTCTATATGTGTTTATGTGAGTGTGTTTTTGTTTTTTTAAATTGTTATTGGTGTCTCTGTGATGTTTTACTATTTGCTTTTATATGTATGTGTGTGTGTGTTTATAGACAAATCGAGGATGGCTTGTTCTGCTGAAACCCCCCTCCCACTGCGCAGGCTTCAGTCGATCATTTTAATCTCCCCCCACACGTGAGCGAGGGGACAGCCTTTCCTGAAACTTGGCACACAGTACAGGGTGGGGTAACCAGCTCAGACCGGATTGACAACCTCCCTTTTTAATACTGTTCCCTCGCAGCTTGTTGCGTGTGCTCTTCCTTCTTCTGTAGAGTTTTTTTCCACAGGGTCTGCAGCCCCCCCTCCCTCCACCCTTTTCCTCCAACTCCTGCACTCTCATCCCTAGCTCTGGACTGACTGAGTGCACAAACTGGTCAGCCCAGCTCCCAGCATGCACTCTGATCCCCACTGCCCTCTGCCTATCTGTCCCCTACGACCTCCTAAATGGTTTCGTCTTGAGTGCATACACACACCCTTAGAAATAAGCATGAGCGCAAGGCAACATGTATACCCAGCCACCTGCACACACACATCAACAACATCTCTACATAGATTTTTCTTCTTCACTTATAGTGTGTTACCCGGCCTGCCACGATTTGTTTGAAACTGTTTTGGTCCCCTTATTTTGCTGTGCCATCAGAAACTAAGTTGTAGAAATCATACTATGTACTATGGAATGGTTTTGTAATCTGTAAAATACAGCTGTTCTGCAAGAAGTTTTCAAATCTAATCGGGTGCTGTTTGTAGTGTTACTTTAAGGAATCTTTCCCCTCACAGTGGGCTTTCTCAAGGTTCTTAAGTCCAGTGGGCAAAATACTAGAAAAGATCATGGTAACTATTTCTGATATGGATGGCTTTGGCATAAATACAAACATTTACAAAAATGAACAATGTGCTGTTATGAATAATTAAAAGATGTGTTTTTTACTTTGCTATGATAATTATATTGACCTCTCACAGTGAATCATTTTGATTCGAGAATGAAAAGTTCCGTTTACATGTTTTTCTTGATACAGATTTCTCTAGATTTGAAATAATGTTATGATAATTTATTTTATATGACTTGACACATATTGCTTTTAGAGCCCAGTGATCACAATGCAGATTACCAAACCAGTTTTATAGCAGATCACTCCTCTAATTGGCACGCAACCTGATATGACCCACCGAGCTAAGATACTTAGTTAAGAGTATTTGTGTGTGTGTGTGTGTCTGTGTGTTTTGCCTCCACCCTGTATGTTATAACCTGCGGTCTAATCAGTTGTACTTGACCTCCATGAAGTTTTTGTGTTGTGCTCTGAAGGATTATGGTGTACTGATCAGGTATTTTACTCTTTCTCTTTCCCCTTCAACCTATCCCTTCATTCCGCTCTTCTCCCCTCAGAGAGGCAAACGGACAGACGGCAGGACGGATACACGGGTGGGGGCTGTGCTCGGCGGCTCGGCGGCAGGCTGGTGGAAGATGTCGTCAGGAGCCGGTGGGAGGGGAGGACGGCGGCTCAGGGGGACAGCAAGCAGCAGCGGTGGAGGAGGGAGAGGAGGAGCAGGAGAGGCAGAAGAAGGCCCCGTGGGGATCCCTTTCCCTGAACACAGCGCGGACATCCTGGGCAGCCTGAACAAGCAGCGGCTCAGTGGCCTACTTTGTGACGTGCTCCTGGTTACCCAGGAGCGGGAGTTTCCAGCTCACCGCTCCGTCCTGGCGTCCTGCAGCTCCTACTTTCACAAGCTCTTCACTTCAGGTGCCACAGCTGACCAACAGAACATCTACAACATCGACTTTGTGGAGGCAGAGGCTCTGGGAGCGTTACTGGACTTTGCCTACACAGCCACACTGACGGTTAGTCACAGCAGTGTGGCTGACATCCTTGCCGCTGCACGCCTCCTGGAAGTCCCACCCGTCCAGGATGTCTGTACACACCTGCTGGACACCAAAGTGCTCTCCCCGCCGGTACAAAACTATAATAGATTTACAAGTGACATGTGTTGAAGTCAAATTTAACCTTTGAGATGTAATTTTATCTAAACTGCCTTAATAAGTTAATCACACCATAAGCAGTCTTTTATTAGTATTTAATGATTTCATATCAAAGGGCAGACCCTCTGAATTACTGCAAACTTCTTGCAGAGTAGATGCAGAGTGGAACCTGAACAAGTAATTCAAAATCTTGTTCTCTCAGGGTAATGGGTGTCTGGTCAGGATACCATCTCTTTTATTAAAGAGGCAGCATAGTCAAGCTTATATCATGGCCTTTATCGGTCTCTCTCACTATGCCAAACACACACCCACAGCCTCTGGGTTAGTTCAACACTTACTCATTCTGAGCCAATTGGCGTGTAGAAGGACGACATGCTCTTTCACAGACTACAGACACAGCATATCACAGCTACACTTCAACACAATCAAGTGTAGCTGTGATATGCTGCTTCTGAATACACAATGCTCGACATCATGTGATAATCACAGCTTTGGGATATGCCCAATTTACCCGAGCATACCGTATATGTGGCTTTGTGCTGCTTTCTTTACATTTATGCCCACACTAGATATCTATGGGTTTGCCTATACAGTTTTATTTCCAGCAGTGCTCGTAGGATTTATAGAGACTGCACACCAAGAATACCTAGAGTTGTGCCCATGATGTTTGGCCTTGCAGTTGTCAAATACAACATTGCTATTTTACTTTACTTTACTTCTGTACTTCCATATCCCACTTTCTCTTTCCCTTCATTTTCTTAAATCAGTTAATCCCTGACTGAAAATTTATACTTGACTCATCTTCTTTGTCTTCCGTCATGTTTCACTAGGCGGGCAGTGAGCAGAAAGACGAAGACGAAGATGAGGGTAAGGGCAGAGGCAGGGAGCAGGGAAACAGGGTGCGGGCCCGGGAATACCTGGAGTACTTCCAGAGAGGGGCACACTGGAGCAGCAGCTGCAGCACACCAGAGCTCAGGGACCTGCCCACACACCTGCACTTTAACCATGGTAATGGGGCGCCCCCGATAAATGGGGGTCCTGCTGGCCAGGGTGAATACTACTCCACCTTGGCCCTCGCCTTGGCCCAGGCCCAGGCCCCCACACAGGAGCCAGAGGAGGAGGATGAAGATGAAGAGGAAGATGAGGACGGGGAGCTGGTGCAGAGGAATGGAGCAAGCTTGGGGTCTTCTTACTACCCCTCATCCCAAAATGGGCACTTCTACCTCCCCCCTGAGTCCAGGCTAGGGCAGGAGACAGAGGTGGAGGAGGGAGGCAGGGAGGTGATGGCGAGGGAGAGAGGTTCTGCCAGCGCCCTTCTGCAGCAGATGATGGACTCCCTTGAGAGGCAGAAGGAGCGTGCAACAACTGGGGAGGAACAGGGAGATGGGGACGACGCCGACATGGAATTTTACTTGAATTATTTCAATAGCTCGCAGCATGAAGATACAGCTTCTGCTGTGCCAACACAAGGAGTGCCGCCACTCTGGTTATCACAGGTCAGAACAGGCCAAGAAAGAGGAGGGGGAGAGAGGGGCAGTGGAGGAGGAGGAGGAGGAGGTGGAGGAGAGAGGAAGATGCGCTCTAAGGCCTTCCAGAAATGTCCCATATGCTCCAAGGTCATCCAAGGAGCAGGCAAGCTACCCCGCCACATCCGAACACACACAGGAGAGAAACCCTATGAATGCGCCATCTGCAAAGTGCGCTTTACCAGGTAAGCCCTATTAATGAAGTGAGTACCCCATGTCACATGTACTAATACACTTGGACTTGGCACTGTAGCCAGGCCCAGCAGTGGGAAACACCACAAATCCAAGAGCAGGAGAATTAGTACTAACAAACTTAGCTTTGCATTAAGAAGGCAACACCGTTTGTGAATCTAAGTGTTTACCTTGATCATGGACTTACTGAGTAACTTGAATTTTTTTCGATGTCACATTGCAGCCAAATACTTATCATGCATGTAGAATATTTCAGCTCTTGGCTCAGATGGTTATAAAGGTATTTTTATTGATTCAGCCTTCATAGCAAAGTCCTGGATTTTTACATAGGGGTCCTATAAAACAAGGCTGTGCCATGGTAGTGTTATCAAGTGGAGGGCTGCTATAAAGCGATGTGTTCTGATACAGAGGGGGATTACAGGCTCTGGATGGTGCTCTATGTGCTCCAATGCAGTAATTTGAACTTTTGATCTCCAGTTATGTTGATTATTGCCCACGGCAGGCCAGTTACAACAACCCCCTCCTCTCTCCCTCTGTCACTCCTTTCACCTCTCTAATGAAATCTGCTGTGTGCCGCTGAGATATATGTAGCGAGTCCAAAGCAAGGGACTTGCACACCGTTTCCCTGTATTATGGAGTCCTGCCTTTTCCTTGAAATCATTCCTTTAATTAATTAATCAGTAGACTTGTGCTGGAAATAGATACAGTGGACTAGAAATACCCGGAACCTCTGCTGGCATGGCAGGTAGGGAAGACCAATCTGAATTTGCCTTCCATCTTAATTCAACCAGCAGAGGGAAGAGGGTATTGTAATCTTAATCCCATTTGATCAGGGTTAAGAGTGTGCCTTGCACAGTAATAAATCACTCTGTCCTTAAATAATTCACCTCTGTTAGTGTGCCACTTTGTTCTCTGGCTTTGGCTCTTGCATTGTTGTGTGCATGCATATTTGTTTTTATCTTCACTTATGTACACGTTTCTTTGTTAATGTTATATTATAAGCATGGTTTTTACAGATCTATAATGGTTGTGGTGGGTTTATTCATGTTCCTGTATAGTAGCTAATCTACTTACATGGCTTGTGTGTGTGTGTGTGTGTGTGTGTGTGTGTGTGTGTGTGTGTGTGTGTGTGTGTGTGTGTGTGTGTGTGTGTGTGTGTGGTGTGTGTGTGTGTGTGTGTGTGTGTGTGTGTGTGTGTGTGTGTGTGTGTGTGTGTGTGTGTGTGTGTGTGTGTGTGTGTGTGTGTGTGTGTGTGTGTGTGTGTGTGTGTGTGTGTAAATAGAGTTGTCTTAACTATGCTTCTTTGTTTAGGAGCCCTCTGCCCTGGGTTCATAAGGGTTAGACGATTAAAGAGCTCAGAAGCTAGAGAGATAGTAAGGGCTCAAGGGGGTAGGGAGGGACAAGAAGGCCAGGGCAGCCTGATAAAGTTGAGTGTATCATCCAAAAAAATACAAATAAAGAAAAAGTTCCAGTGTGTCATAAGATGATGTTGGATTAAGTCAAGACATAGCTTGGTCTTCAGTAAAATTGTTGTACAAATCTGACATTATTGGAAAGTAACTCTTCCGTTTCAGCTTTTTGACATGATTAGAAGTGACACCTACTCTTATACAATATTCACTCAAATTACTGCTATTTGGAATTGAAAAAGGCTGCAAAATTGATGACTAGTGATTTTACAGACTCGTCAATTATTCAGTACTACTCAACAATAGATAGAAGCATAGATGATTGAAGTCTTAATTTTTTATTCTCACAATGCACTTTCTTGGGCCTATTGGTTGTCATGGTGTCAAAGTTAACAGAAATCAGAAAAGAACCAGCTGACACAGTGAACATTGAGCTTTCCCGTCACACCGCTGTTGCACTCCTGTGTGCTATTACACAGATAAAGATGGTAAAGTTTATGGCTTCTGCTCAGTTGGCTCAGACAGAATAATCTCATTGGAAGAGATCCCCAACGGTGTCTGTTAAATAGCAAATAAAACCACCCAAAGCATAACAAGTTGATCAAAGTACATTTGACAGAAACTACCATACTTTTAGGTAATCAAGTTCCTGTACTTGATATTACATATCTGGATTAGTATCTGAGCATAAAACCTTAAACAGACTGTGTGCACTGCTGCACTTAGTATTGAAATGGGTGTTTGCTGGACCTTTAGATCTAATTTGAATTTTATGGACCATGTTCTGATGTGATCTTTTTTTTCTCTCTCCCACATAGGCAAGACAAGCTCAAGGTTCATATGCGGAAGCATACAGGAGAGAAGCCTTACCTGTGTACGCAGTGTGGAGCTGCCTTTGCTCACAACTACGACCTGAAGAACCACATGCGTGTACACACAGGCCTGCGCCCCTATCAGTGCTCAAGCTGCTTTAAGACTTTTGTACGCTCAGATCACCTGCACCGCCACCTCAAGAAGGACGGCTGCAACGGCATCCCCTCTCGTCGAGGCCGAAAGCCTCGGGTGCGAGAGCCTGGGCTCCTAGATGCCTCTCTTGGTCTGCTGAGCCCCGGCTCCGACACAGGCCCTGGGCCTCGTACCATCAGGGGACGAAGACGCTCTGAGGCTTCTTCAGTGGCAGAGGTGGAGGGGACTGCTGGAGCTCTTGCACATAGTCCTCAGCTGCAGGAGTTGGCAGGGGAGGCAGGGCCCTGAGACTGCAGGGGCGACACTGCAAGGACACTGCTGGACACCATAGTCACTCTGCACCGCCTGTGAGACAGGCCAGTGAACAGAGAGGAGAAAAGACACAGAGGCAAACTTTAAGAAAACAAAACAACTAACTATTCCTCTATAAACCAAATCAGGGTGTCACAAAAATCTTATCTTTATATTTCTTTCTCCTTTTACTTTAGGAAACGGAGTAGACTTCTAAGCACTTAAGTCTGTTTATCTGTCAAAGAGCAAAGAACGCTTCAAATCAAGCACCCATGACGTCCACTTTCTGGGCCATGTCTTTCTTTATAATACTAGGGGTTTTATACATTGGCAAATGTGCTTAGGCAAATGAACCATAGATACAAAAAAAAACTCTTGCAACTATGCAGTTGATTTAGATTTTTATTGGTTTTGTCCTCACAGCCTTCAAGCTCTAAGCAAGTTGTCTATCAAGCACCTTCTGGCTGCTGTACGGGTGAAGCGAGGACAAATCCTCCCAGTGAAAACAACTCTTTTTCTATTCTTTTGCAGGTCTGAAATGTACAGTTACCATAGAAACAACATTGCCACAACATGGCATATGCAAGAAAAACTCGACACAGTTTTGATGCAACAGTTTTTTCTCTCTAAATGTTCCAGAAAGAATGAGACAAGGGTTTGATTGAAGTGTTACTTTCTCTATAAAATGCTTTTTAATAATCTATGGTTTGTCCTGTTAAAAAACAATTTGTTGCAGAGTCGAATCCACTTTAATGGGGGCTCGCCAGGTGCAGGACTAGGGAACATGAGGGGTAGAGGGTTTGTGTTTTTAAAGCACTACCATCGTCAATGTATCTGTTGGCTTGACTACATTGCCTCTTCACGAACCTGCAATTTTAGCATTTCTATATTCCCTTTTGATTTTGTCCCTATTTGTTTGTCGTTCTTTGTTGTTGACTGCTTCGGGTACTTGACACTTTATAATTGTATACATGTATATACGGCAGGTGGTGATATGACATTGGTCCCCCCTCAATGCTGAGGTGTACTTACCAGTTGGGTTTTCCCTCTTAGGCTTGATGTCATATTTCTCACAGAGTGAAGCTTGTGGGTGAACGAAACGAACTGAATGAATGTTTGATGAAAAAAAAAAAAAAAAACATTGAGTCACCCATTTGTTTTAAACTTAACACTTGACATGTATAGTTCCTGCCCAAAGGATGAGGAGGTGGAATGAATGAATGTGCTTTACTTTGTGCAGTTCTTCGGATCGGTCCTTGTGTGACAAGGCGCGGGTAGCATTTAACAAACCGCAGGTTAAAGGAATGGCAGGGAGCCTGAGTGAGAGTGAGAGAGTGACAAAGTGTACGAAGGAGAGATAGATGAGCACCTTTTTTCTATGTTTGCACAGCTTTACTAAAGATATCCAACAGAGCGGGAGAGAGGTGTATTTAAAAGGAGTGGGCTGGTGTTTTGCGGAGGGCGTGAGAGGAGGTTTATGTATCATGCTTATTCCAGTCTTTTTTCGCCCTAGGGACCACACAACCGTGAGGCAACCTGTATGATGAAGAGAGCAATAAATACCTGTCCAAGTTGGGAGGCCAAATAAGAGTGCAGCTGCAGCTGGTCGATGGGGGATGGGAACAAGGGAAGGGGAGGGGGATCTCACAATGTCTGTTGCATTCCAAAAAATAATCTCCCCCAGCTCAGCCACGTTTCCAGGCAGGAGGGGATCAAATCAGGCCTTTTCTCTCCCTAGCTCTCCCTCTGTAGTCCTCTAATGCCCCTGGACCAGCCTGGAGGGGATATTATTATATTAGAGCCTGGTGTTACTGAGGGTAGGACGCCTGGTGTTGGCTGTTAAGTGTGTATGTGAGCGTGTTTGCATGTACGTGTGTTTTTGTACATGTGTGTGCGTGGCAGCCAGGGTCGCTCTGGCCACATCATCACTGTGTGAGTCAGCCACAGCCTGTTCAAACATGCACCCTTAGCTGCCAGGCCCAGTGCACTTTCTCTGTCTCTCTCACTGACACACACACTCTCACACACACTCTCACTTAGTCCAGGCGTCCAGTAGAGAATGGGCGAATACCAGAACAGACATATCTGTTGACTCCTTATAGCTTGATTTGTCTTAAAAAAAAAAGTTTTCTTGTACTCCAAATCAAAGTTTGTTCGTTTTTTTCCAAACTAGCACATTGAGCCTTTGAGTCAAGAAGAAAACATACATGATTTTAATAGTTACCTCCCCCCACCCCTCAGCCTGTAATTTCTGTAGTAGTGCTGTAGTTTAACTATCAGTCCTCTGCACCTTAATGGGAAAGATCCAGGTTATGTATGCACTTTGTTACCGAGGAGGGCACTTTTTTTCAGCGAAACGGGTACTTTAAAACTAACCAGTTGCAAAGGAGATCAGTCCATTCGTCTGTCCATGGTGGTGAAGTTGAACTGCTTCATTGGTTTTCTTCAGGTTTTGATGACAAGCTGCCAAAAAAAAAAGTGATATACCAGTTGAGATCTCTAAAAGAGATGCTTGGTCAGATGAGATACCAACATGTTGGGTTTTGTGACCTTAAAAGAAATATAGACTACATTATCCATGTCTTTGATTGCACTTGAAGTTAGTTAAAAAGAAATGTAGGAAGCTGATTTTATGTCTCAATATAAAGAAGGAGAGTGGAGGAGGCAGAAGAGGTAGAAAGGATACTTGTGTGTGTGTGCGTGCGTGTGCGTGTGTTCGTGCGTGCGTGCGTGTGTGTGTGTGTGTGTGTGTGCGCGCGTGTGTTTTTCCATGCATGTGCACAAGTATGTTTCGTGGCTGGCAGGCTGGAGGGTCTCAGGACAAGCTTGGATAAACAAACTTCTACCCCATCTGTTCACCAGCTTCTCTCATAACTGCATGTGTTCTCCGAGGAACCACGGTGATAATAGGTCCATGGTACCACAGAAGCAGAAATACCTTTTGTAAAACAACTCATTGGACAGTTGCTTGTTTACTTCACGAGTCCCTTGGTGAAGATTTGCATAACTCTCTGTTTACCTTTGTTGGTCTTAAGAGTTTTAGTTTCCAACTTTTCTTCTCTGTAATGATACATATGGGGTTAATTAATGCACAAATTGACTCATACAGGCAGACCAATGTATAGTGTATATGTCTACCTGCTTGGCGATCGTTATGTTTTGGTACTGGGTATGAACTGCTTAAGTTCATTGTGTCTTGATGATTGGGACCTATGAGCCATCTTAAACATATGTTGCTTTGAACCTTAATCATTTTTTTCCCAAAAGTCTTATGTTGTTTGTTGATTAACCAAAGCTTTTTAGCCTCAATCTGAGTTCACTGTAGACTAGAGATATTGAAAGTATGTGTATAATTTATCCGGACTGGGCCTCCCTGACTAAGCCACACACAGATGCCCTCATCTTGAATACATATGCAGAAATGTGTGTGGAATGATACAGATATTTACTTGAGTTCACGTTCTCTCGCTCTTTGTACCCTTGTGGACAAAAACAATCAGAGGTTTAAGGATGTATAGGTGTTCTGTCGGTCTACAGTTGTGTTTCTTAAAATGTTGTGTTGAGCTACAGCTATTTTTTCTAACTATTTTACATGGCCGTGCGTGTGTGTGTGTATGAGTGTGTGCTTGTGTGGGTTGGGGTCATGGTTTTTGGGGTTGCTGTGCCAGGAGGGTGGGGTATATGGGTGCTTGGGTGGGGTTATGGATATAAAGCCTGATAGCACTGGAAATGGTGCTTTAGCTGAGAGAGCAAACGTTTGCACTAATGTTTAATGTCCTTGTCCTGCTTATGGGAGAAGGGCAGTAGACCTCAGAAAGGCCTGCGAGTTTCCATGAGCACAGAGCAGTATGGTTAATACTCAATGGTCTCATATAGAGTCCATTCAAAGCCCTCCATAGAAATAATCATGTACAGTATATTAAGAAAGATACAGACGTCCAACAACAACAACAAATACCAAAGCAGAAAAATGGCTTGCACTAAGTCATTGGACATTTTAAGCTACCAATCTAATGTTGGATTGACGAGTTTTACTGTTCAATCTGAAGCCTCTTGAAAAGAGATTCTTGATGTAATTTTTGTTGGAAACTAGAAAATGCGATTATCTCAAATCATATTTGCTCTTTATTTTAAGAATGATTCCAAATACAACGATTTAAGCACTTAGAAAGTAACAAAGACATACAACAATGTTGTCCTTTTCAAAGGGCCAGATCTGAAAGCTGAGATGTACTGTGTGCAGGTGCCAGAGATACTGAACCAATATTTGTTTCCAGATTGGATTTTAACAACACTTTTCCCATGCTGATGAAAAAGAATATGATATGATAATGAAGATATTGTAACTCTTAAACACTGTTTGACTGTTCGCTGAATTGGATCATTTCAGTCTACTCTTTGTAAGGGTTGAATGAATTGAAATGTGCTGTGGTTAAAGTAGACTGTGGCCTTGTCTGAGCAGCACTAAGCTTGTTTTTGTGTGTGTGTAAGTTGTAATGTGCAGTTTGGGGCTAAAGCTCTCTCCCACCTACACAGACAGCAAGGGCCACGGTGTGCCTTATGTGGACAGAGACCGGCAAAACTCATTTATAATTATTTCTACTCCAAATTGTAAAAGCTGATTAGCTAATGACATTGATCACAAAGCTTTTCAAGTTTAAATATAGTTATAATAATGTCTCTGGATCCATAAATGGTGTGTCCCCAGCCTCAGCCCCAGACCAAGGTTACTCTGACACAGGCTACAGGCAGACAGTCTAACTTGCAAGTGTTTTTCCAAATTGACCTTGATATGTTTGTCATATGCTGTTATCAAAGATTCTTGGTAAATCTATCTGAGAAGGCCATAAAACAAAGACAACAGAGAACTACAATAATAATTTAAAGTGTAAATTATCAAACACAGTAGGACGAGGTGACTGTTAATATTTAGATTCACAACAGCAGAAAGGGGACTATTTTCTTTGCTTTGTCATTTTCCTGCACACCTGATTTTTGTGTGTTCTCCATCAGCAAGCTGAGCGTGGCATATGCAGTACGGCACTATGCGCAGCGTGGCTCTGGCACTTACTCAGACAGCCCTGGGTCCTTCAGAGAGGCAGGCTGCTGTCTGTTGGCTGCTCTAAGCCAAGGTGGTACAGTTTGCGGTCTCTTTGGGATGCAAAGGTTGACGTACAGTGAGGAGGATTCAATACGGGTGGTAGGGGAAAGCTGGATGTTGCTTTTTCAGGGATGAGGTTAGAAAAGCCCAGGTGACAAGACTTATTTGCTGAGCAATTGTTCAGGGATGGTCCTGGCATAATAGATTGCACATCCACAATATGACAAGAATTGTCATACAAAGGAGGTCACCACAGATTTCACTTTGGGGCAACAGGAAGGATGTTGCTGAACTCTTTTGTCTCTTTGTAAGTACTCAGGTGGAAAATACACTGCTATGCATTGGGTTTAATGTCTGCTAAGTTTATGATATGTCTAATCATCCTCCAAGTCACTTCTCTGTCCTTGCCTTTTCCCTTTTTGTACCCATATTGAACATAATAATTCCCAGAAATAAAACAGCAGGAACAGTTCCCTCATTATACAGTGGCCGTGACCAGCCTGTTTCTCCATCTAATATTGATCCAGTGGATTGTTTGTTGGATGGAAGGAAGCCACTGGAGATTCAGTCTTATTAGTCAGACTGTAACATTTTTTTGAAAGGGGATGGGGTTGGAAAAAAAAAACGCAAGGGGAGGATGTATGTTCTCCTCTTTCCTGCTCCCATTTCTCCCCTCTCTCCAGACTCAGAGTCTACATCTTTGCTGCCGACTGGCCTTTGATCACAGATCACACAACCTCAGCAGGAGGAATCATCAGGAGAGAAGGGAGGGAGAGGGGATCGGATGAGGAGTGGGGGAAGAGACAGTTACAGTTTGTCGTCACTTTTACCAATGCAGGATACATTCCATAACTTCATACTGTGATTCCCACGTCAGAGTTTTTGGCTTTGTTTTATGGGTGTGAGTTGGAGACAGACGGATGAAATGATCAACATGTTGCAGTTGGTTGTTTCAGTCATTCTGTCCAGCGTCACTATCCCTCTGCTGTGTGACAGACAGACATATAGACAGAAAAATGCCCCCTGAGTATTGTGATCCAACTGCCTTTTTCAGCTTCTGCGATTGTAACAAAAGCACTTTGCAAATGGCCATCCTGAATTTTTGTGTGCTTTTATTGTATGGTTATCACTATTGTAATTATTATGTTGTTCCTGTTTATGTTTTTTTTTTGTCTCAGAGCAGATGATTATTTAAATGAAAAAAAAAAAGAAATATGATGAAAAAGAAAAAAAGAGAAAAAACTTGAATATTTGGTGTCTGGATTGAAGGTGGTCAGAGCTGCCACATGATCTGGATGTAAACAAACACATCTCTGTTATTCTACCACCATACCTGTTATATGCAGCTTATAGCATAGTCACACAATAATAGGGGCGGATACAGGACAGATCTCACCCTACCTGCTCTCTGCTTACTGTCTTACATCTTGTTGGGAGAAATGTCATTTTATTGTTGTTTTGGGAGACTCATTTTCTTGAAAAAGAAACCTGTACAACAGTTGCAAAGCTTTCTGAGAAGGCTAGCTGTGCTGAATGTTAAACATGCAGTGTTGTATCCACTGCAGAATCTTTTTTTTGTCTGCAATAACGCCCGTTCTGTGTAGTTAAAGGCTGGATCTGGTATCCTTAAAGAGCTGAAATGAACATAAAAGACAGATGAAATGGCCAAATGACCATCAAGCACTTTTGCGAATCAGTACAGAAAATATTATTTTTGGCCTTACCACCTATGTCAATCAAAATTATTGTAGGAGAATGGAGAGAATGATATTGATTATGAAAAACACTCACTAAATCCATAGTATGTAAATGGTTTAACTTTGGAGAGACATAAATAGGATTCTATTTATCATAAATTGATTTGAAACTGTGATTTTTGTGATAATTAAGATTAAGATTTAAAATGGCAGAGCCTTTCCCAATTCTTAAACCTGGGCTTTAATTTTAAATCCAAACTCAATTGTGAATTCACATTAGGCAGAACACTGCTCAACGTATCTGTGTTAAAACTTTACCCTTGTTGCACTTCTGACCACATTCAACTTATGTGTGTGTGAAAACAGCTGAATCTCAAAGGCAGAGAACCTGCTGCGCTCAACTCAAGGAGTGTGGTCAGAGAGTGAAACATCATAGCACGTTTTAACCAGCAGAGTGCATCAGCTGTTCTTCTACCGATATGGAATTTGTTTTTAGAGAAACTCTATCTCGTCACAATGGTGATTGCTTATTAGCCTAGCGGTCTGTCAGTCCATATGTTTTGAAAGCTGCAGGGGGGGTGACTGGTGATTTTTTTGAGGATTTGCACTTTTAGGCGATGAAAATAAATTGAATTGTATATGAGACCACTAAATCCACACAGTCTAAACCATATAATTCCATTTTGTGTTATTTTTGTTCTGTTTTTCTTTTTTTTTTTAATATATCCAAAAATGTCTGGCATCTGGTTGTCTGGTTTAAAGGATACAAAATCTTTCTATTAAAAACAATGGTTGAAAAGTTTTGTGTGGATAATTGTGTCTTTTTCAAACTTATGACATCTAAATCTATGTAGAGGGTAAGATCACCTTTATTGATTCCCCATGGGGAAATTAACATGTTTCAACAGCAGCAATAAAAGTATTATTAATAGAAATAATAAGACGAAGAAGGGAAATTAATTAATTAATTTAATACCAATAAACAATATGACAATAATAATACAAAATAAAATCCAGATAAATATATATTCACATTATTCACATCTACTTTATTTTGTTACACATTATTTCCACCTAAAAAAATAAATTACATCTGTTTAACAAAATATTGATATTGAAAGGACTGATTGCACAAGATACAGAAATGATCGCACCAGGTCCCTGTTTCTGTCTTGTCCGTAATTTCACAGTTTTCATTATGCTAGTTCATCATGTTGAATAACTGTTACATGTTGTTATAGCAAATAACATAATGCTCGACACACATATAAAAACAGGACTTTGCCACTATGGCATGGATTAACACCATATAAGTGTTTATGTTTTCATACTATCTTCCTATACAGAGTGCAACTGAACACAAGTCAGTTCTCTACAACAACCACTAGGTGGCAGTAATATCACTCTTATTAGTAATAGAGGACGCAGTGCTCTCTTAAGTGCAGCCAAACATCACTGCTCTCTCTCTCTCTCTCTCTCTCTCTCTCTCATTCTTTTTATGCTCACTCACTCTTTACTGACCATGGCAGCACGGATCATGCAGCCTATCTACATATTGCAGAGTGCATAAACATTGATACTCATACAGCCATATTAATACTTAAAAATACTCCACAAATAAAGCCACAACTTGCAGTGCAGGCAAAGTGTGATTTGGCCTGACATACATGAATACTACTACAGTGAACTAGCATGGTTTCAAAGAATAAACACCAATGGAGACTAAGGTTTTGTCTAAGGAATTATCTAAATCGAGGTTAGCATTCTAATTGTGACTCGTCCCAGAAGTCCAGCGTCTGACTGCAACCATGGGCTTGTTGTCACCCTGTCTTCCTGTTTGTGTCGGTCTGTCTCCCTGAGGCGATCCTGCGGGGTGACAGAGGTCATAGAACAGCTCATTAACCCCACCCCAACAGCCCACACATTGCTGCAGTCCTCAGGCCCTGGCTGCGCGCACACACACACACACACACACACACACACACACACACACACACACACACACACACACACACACACACACACACACACACACACACACACACACATTTTATAATGCTCCACTAATAGCAGTTAAGTCGACTTAAGCCCACTCTGAAAGCAGTGTGCTTTCAGGGATGCACCATGAGACATGTGTGTCTTGCATGTTGTATATAAGTTGGCATTTTGATTCAATTGTGATAGTCCTTCTTATGTTAACACTTCCATGTATATGTATGAAAAGGTGCAAAAAGAAAAATCCCTTAGTCACTGTTAAATGTCATACCAATCCACAATACCTTATATATTAAAGTATGAGATGTTTAATTCAGTCATGTTGAACCTGTCAGCCAGATGTCTCAGGATCCAGGTCATTCATTGTTATGTTTGTAAGGAATCTAAAAACACAGTGGGATATAGTGTTATTTTCCATGTTCAGACATCATCGTGGCAGTCAAAACACATTGGATAAGAGGAACAGAAGCACTTCAGGGGCTGGGAGATGCCTGGGAGCTGTTGTCTGGCTTCTCTAGTTATGTTATTCCCTTGCTCTGTGCAAGTGAATGTGCATGCATGTGTGTGTGTGCATGTGCCTGTAATTGTTTCTGTTTACATGTTTGTCTATATGCTTATGCGCCAAGGTGTGGTTTTATAATGGTTTTTGCTTGTGTACATGTGCATGCACAGCATCATCATTAAGGCTTGCACATTAAATGAGCCTCTAACAGCCCTCACCATGCAAACTAAGAGACAGGCTGTAATGTAAAGGAAAAACAGCGACACACACACTAGCCTCATTTTTACCAGTACACACCTTTCTCCTGGGATATAAAATGCCCCTGCCTCTGCACACCGTGGGACATGAGTTTCATCCAAACTAGCTGCTGTCCTCAATAAAAGCCACGTGAGCAGTCTCTGCAGTATAGATTTCCAGTTTCTCTGAGGGTATATTTTGTTCAGATCAGGTGTTTAAACTGCTCAATATGACAATAATTAGGGAGCGCTCAAGACATGTGTTCTTTCTTATGTTGATAAGGGACATTGACCTTTAACCTGCGCACCCCTGTAGTCTCCCCCCAACCAACACCACCGCCACCCACCCGTCCCACATGTCCCTCGGCCATCACTCCCCCCTTCTTGCTCTGTCCAGCTCCCATCAGGAAGGATAGAGGGGGGATTGGACAGGCTTGGAGCTTTGCCTCTGGCCATCTCTTCTCCTCCCCGGAGAACAGAGGACTGAGGTGCCTTTAAACCACTGCGGCAAAAAACCCTACCAAAACCCTGCAGTCATTAATATGCAAAAATGCAAATGAGTAGGTAATTAAGAGCTGGAGCTCTCTGGAGGCTCTTTGATTGCTAATGAATTCTAATCTGCAAAGAAAAGGGGGGAGGGTAGGAGAAAAAGAGATGAAAGAAATAGAGAAAACAACGAAAGAGAGAAGCCTTAACCTAAAATTTGTCAAATATCTTTAAGTTTTCACAATAGTGACAACACTTTTTTTTAACCTGTAAGCTGTAACCTAAATTATGAGCTTAGTTATTTGAAACAATTACGTGATTGTAAATATACAGGCAGATAGTATTTGTTGGAATATAAATGTTTAATTGACAGACTTTTAAAACACATTATATATTTATGTCAAGTTTATAGTTTGATTTTTTTTATAGAGCATCAGTGGATAGAGATCTTTTTGTAACGGACACAGTGTAGCCTTTGTGTACATACAGCTAATTAGAGGTGAAAATGACAGGCAGGCAGACACTCCTGACCAGAGGATACCAAAGAAAATAGAAGGTCAGATATCTCAACAGTGTGTTCTTTGCTGCAACAGCAGCTGTGCGCTGAAGTAAAGGAGATGTCATTTCATCACTTTTGTGAGCCATAACACATCCCCACTACCACTCCAAATCATTCACTATGTCACACACACAAACACAGACACACACACCAATACACACGCATGCACACACTGCTGTTATTGTTGTTGCAATGCTCCCACGACACCAACAATCTCCGCTTCCCTCCCCCACTTGGGCTCACATCTATCTCTCTTTCACTCCCTCTCTTCCCCCTCCTGTCCTGGGTAGCCCTGACATGCCTGCTTCAATTGATTTAGAGTCAATTCAGCATCTGATCTGATTTTTATCATGTGACTTTGTGCACCCCCCTAAATGTATGACTAGTGTATTATTATCTTATTATCACATTGGGGGGAGGTTTTTTTTTTTTTTGCTCAGGTAGGAATACTCCTCTGGACTTGGCAGTTTCTCTGTCTCTCTGTGTGCCTAACCTTCCCATTCTTCATCTCTCAAACCACCAACACAGTGTAATATCTGCTCTATACAGTCTGCTGGTGGGGGTTCACTTGTCTGGCTTTGTAAAGCTGATGTTCTATTCCATGTACCTGAAGCGTGGGTGGCAGAACAGGGGCGCCACAACTGCACAATCATGGGAATCCAAGATGGCAGGCAGGGGTCCCATAAAATCAGCATAGGGAGCAAGTCCTGGTCAAATGAGAGCAGAGGAAAGTCAAAGAGGTTGGTTTGTTGGTTTAGGTTTTCCTGCAGTAAATGGATTGTTGATTTGCTTCGTGTTTGTCTCTCTGTATTGGATCTGGAACTGTAGTGTTTGGGAGGATTAATGTCATAGACAATCCCTCAAACTCATTTTCTTTCTCACTGTGGAGCTCTGTGGGAATTACAGTTTCAGGATGGGGGAGGCAGACATTGCATTCTTTCTGCTGGCGATGGTCCCATTTGTGATGAAGTGAAATCTGGGTTCATCGTGTCCCTTTTGAGTCTGTTCTGTTTTTGAACACTTGTTGGAGATCAGGGAAGATATGCTATCCTCACTTTGTTCCCAAACAGTTGCCCTGCTCCACTTATGTTTTCACTGAAATGTGGATAGCATAACCTTGTGAGTTATTACCCTGTTTCAATCACTTGCTTCTTCTCTCCACACATTTTATTGTTTTTAAACATGTTGGAAGTCAGAGGGAGTTTGGGTTTTTTTTTCTGCCAGGCGAGCTGTAATAGGGGGAAGAAGCTTGACGGGAGTCAGTTTATCATGAGCACAGAGAGCACAACAGATAGATTCCCCCTGTCTCCTCCCCTTCAGCACAGATAGACTCAGAGCATGGGCACTCAGCCAACACTATCAATCTATCCGCTCCTACCCCCAGCCTCTAACTCTTATTGGAGGACAGCTTCCAAAGGGGCAAGGAAGCATGAATCATGGCCCGGCTATGAGGAGCTGTTATGCCTCTAAATACACGTGTTGTGGCTCAAAATCACTCCTTTGCTTCGCCATTAATGACAATCCTGCTAGTGTTTATCATGAGCCTGTAAAAAAAGTTGCAGCATTTAGGAGGGGCAGAGTCTGTTCGAGGAGAGGGATTGTTGGTCTTGGCCTAGTTTTCTTGTCTGATCAGAAACCTGTGCACCTCTGCCCTTCCCCCACCCAAACCTAAGCCTCTACTATTACAGGCTCTGAGTGGTCTCAGTGTGGAGTGAGGTGAGCAGCTTGCCTCACCATTGAGCACCGTGTGCGTTATGTGTGCTGCCTATAACTGTATGTCTACAGGCTTATGCTTGTGTGAGATATAACCTGGTGATGTGGTTTGGCTTCATATGTGCAGAGCAGGATGGCACTGAGTGCTCAATGTGTATGATATGTGAGAGTGTTCAGAATAGTGACAACAACAAAAAAAAAACGTGTTATTGAGGTAACAACATTACTTTCTCACTGGACAATAAAGCCGTGTAAGTGACATATGTGATGCATCTCTCTAGTGCAAGATTGCCTTCTATATTTGTTCTCCACAAAGCATTATTGATTAAAAACCTAAAGAGGATTAAGCGACTATTACACATCAATACATGCTGTTATATCTTAATCTTATCTAAGTAAGTTAAAATGTGTGGACATACATAGAAATACCATGAATATGCACAAATATATGACCAATTAGCACCAATGTGCCAAACATATGCTAATTTTCCATGTGCATCTGTTGTTAATTACAGATATGAAGCTGGGAATAGCTCGAAGGAATCATTGAGGGCATGTGTGACAGCATCCCTCCTCATTCTGCCTCAAACTGTCCATTCTACTGTAAATTTTTCACATTATAGAGGACATGTTTGTGTTTTCGTTTGGCCCCTCCTTTATAATGATGCTTTGAGCTTTTTAGGTTACCATGTGGTACATTACCCACAGATAATGACTTGTAATTTTGGGTTGAAAATTGACCTTTTAAACGTTTGCGTTAATTTTGAAAGAAAGTTAATAGTAGACAACTGATTTAAAATACTGAAATATTTCAGGCGGCACACAATAACAGCTGAAAGTAAAATGCTTAACCCCAGGAATAATATATTAAGGCAGCTTTTGACAATGCCTCCATTGGAAAGAACAGCCACCCTAAATTACTCTCAAAAGTATACATGTCAATGTCTTATGTCTTTTGTTTTACGTCATACATTCAAATTCTGTCTAAACGTATGTCACCATTGGATGTGTTCATTAAGGGGAGACTCACTGTATGTTTTTTTTTTGTTCTTTTTCTTCCGCCCCCTCCCTCTCTTCAGCCTGGCTGCCCTTGTACATGCTCTCCATGTCAGACCCAGCTGTTACTACAAACTACTTGGAGGGCTTACAAGCCTCATTGCTAATACTGACAACAGCACTATTCTTACTCAAGGCCTAACGTCTACTGGAAAAAATACGGAGAATATGAGAGATTTTTTTTGCCTCCACTCGAAATTCATCTCCCCAAACAGATGTTTCCATCTGTTCAAATCTAATCTTTTGATTAATACATTCCTCAATGAAAGGATTCAAAAAAGGTGTTTGATAAATAACTCAAGATGCCCTTTATTTGATAGCATAGATAATTTCCTGCTGCCATGGCTGTGTTTGCTTTATTTTTTTGTGAATGTGTGAATACCTGTGCGTGTGTGTGACCAAATGTGAATGTGTGCATGGTATGTTTGTGAAGGTATTTATGGCCCATATGTGCGTTTGTTCCAAGCAGTAACCCCATTACATTCCTAAGACGGTCCATGAGACTAATTAATGTTCTGAGCTGAGGCTTTTCCTTTACCCAGGGGAAACCCAATGGATTATTTACCTGTATGTCCTATTGACAGCAAATCCCCCTCCCCAGTGGTAAACTAAGTACAAATAGACAGTTTGAGGCATTAGGGCACATAATAAAGCTATGCAGAATCTGCATTTGCTATGTCTTCATTTCATTATAGCTTACAACCAAGACATGACATCCTGCCTACATAATGAATCAAAAGAAACGCATGTCACTGTCCTTTGTCGTGGTCAATAGTGATAACTGTGTGCTATTGAAAAAAGATTTTCTTTGTTTTGTTTTCTTTCTTTCTAAAATTTTACATGTCTGGAATTTGTGTCACTATAAAAAAGGTAATTTTGGAGATTATAGACCGGAAAACAAAGGAGGGTTTTTCTAAACTTCCTCTCTCCTCTATGAGGTTTGCCCTCGGGATAAAAACAACAGCTGTCTAACACCTACCTACACTTTTCAAAAGAGGGGTTATTGTGTGTTTTTTTTTTGTGTGTGTGGAAGGACGCTGAGTGCATATTGAATACAGGCTGGATTAGCATTAGTTACATCTCAGGTTCATCTAATAGTCTTTTGAAAACAGTTCCATAATTATGATTTCTAAACTGCTGTTAATTAAAATGTCTATCCATTGATGTTGTCATACCATCATTTTAACAATAAAGATACATTCGCAGTTATCATATCGTATGCCCTCCCTGTTTGAACTGTATTCTCTGAGACTCCCTAAACAGTTACAAACACACATTTATTCACATATGCACGACACACACAGTCCCCCCCCTCCCCTCACTGAGAACCTACACTCTCTGCTCCCCCTCCTCTCCACTCTGTTCTGGAGCAGGCAGTTGGTCTACTAGGGGTGCTGTTGGTTTTATGTTTATCAGCTCATTCACAATGGCTTGTTGAAATTATAGCACACTCAATAAATTAATAAATATATTAATAAATACGGAAAAATATCACATCATCTCGAATCTGTTTTAATTATCAAAGTTTTGCCAATTAGTTCATCAAAAGGAAAAAGTCAAATCTCTGACACATTTCTTATGTGTAATTATTTAGCCTATTTTTGTTTTTCCAAAAGGCTATGATAGAAATTGTATATATCTGGTTGGATCACAGAACCCTTTTTAAAAGGGCATTTCTGGTATTTTGTAAACAATAAAGCTAACTGATTAATTGAGGAAATAATAGCCTAATAATCAATAAGGCAAATGATCAATTTGTCTTTGCATATCAAAAGGGAGTATTTTGTAGAATAGTAAGAGGGAGTACAGCGTAGTTTAGTGTATAGTATAGTAAGAGGGAGTATAGTGTTGTAGCCTATAGTAATTGATCTTTTTAAAACAACACAAATAGGCTACCTTTTGGAAAAAGGTTTGTAACCCTGATATTATAAACATCAAATAACGATTAGCTTAACTGTCATTAGAAAAAAAAGACAAAATACACCCTTTCATGATCTTCTATGCAGTAGGAAAAATTAAAAAAAAAAAAAAAAAAGTCAAAAAGCTATATTAATAGCCTTGTAGAAAAAAAAACTGAAAATAGCACAAGTAATGATTATAGTTTTACATGTAGACTATAAGCATTAATCAATACAAATACAACAATACAAATTCGGTCTTAGTTAACACATACTAGCCTGTTGTTATTGTGATGAAAAATATTAAAAAGGTTTTGGAAACGTTGTTTTTGAAAAGAGGGGAAGCGGACACAGCAACCATAGTAATAACATGATGTCAGCGGGCATGTTGGAGCCCCCCTCAGCCAGCCTCCCTGAGCACACAGGGAAAGTGAGCGTCAAGACGAAGGCGGGGGATAAATTGGATTTACAGCCGTTCGATGGCTGCTGTTGCTGCCAATCAAGCCTACACGCTTTCCTATTGGCTAAGCTCTCTCACATTTATCGTGCCATCTCGTCAAGCTGCTGCTGTGTAATCGCAGGTAACTTTCTTAGGATAGCCTTCCGCTGGACGACATAGTGCTGCAGCGCTCCTGCATTTTGAGCATTAAAAAAGACACTCCACGGGACCGTGTTGCGGAAATAGGCATTTCTGTCGTTTTGGCCATCGAAAGACGTTGAAGCGGTATTTTTTCGCCGTAAAAACACCCCCTCTCTCAAAGGCGTTTGAAATCGGACACCGCTGGCATCGAGGCCCTCACTTTTTGTGCGGAGGGATACGGTGTTGCGTCTGACAATGTGGACGGAGGTGGTGAAGATGTCTACGAGAAGAATGAAATCATCTCAGTTGTAACAACAAAAAAAAAAGGAAGACGCGAGATTAGTTACTATAATAGATTTGTTTGCACACAGACTTGTTACATTGAAGCAAACACGTGGGCGCTGCGTGAAAAACAGGCTTACCAGGACAAAAGGAAGACATCTACGGTGCTCCAATGCGTTTCATGCACTGAGGTCGAAATTCTCTTGAAGTTTTATGTTTTTCCCCTTGCGAGTCTCCGCTTTTCTTTTTACTGTTGGATATCAGACA